ACCAGGCTAGTTGGGAACCATAGATCTGCTTTTCTTTGGTGGAGGGGTCCCACAAGGGACATTGTGTGGTCTAGCATAGTGTGCAGCTGGCAGAGATGCTGCAGGAACAGTATCTTAGGCAAGAGCAGTGGGGTCTGGGGGGGAAAAGCAGGAGCAAGGAGGTCACTGAAAGGTTGCATAGAGTAGGGAAGGCAGACATGGGATTAGGTGAGACATTGGATAGTTGAACAGGAGGGATTCAGGAGTGTGGGTCACAGAGTGGCAGTAGTGAGACAAGTAGTGGGTTGGAGTGGGATGTTGCTGTTGTAACAGGCTGTAGATAGCTGTGTGCAGTCTGAATCTGAGCCTTCTCCCTTTCTCTTTTTCCCTGCTCCTCCCAGCACTTCCATGAGGCTGCATACATGGCAGATGACCGTCAAGACCTCCTCAATGCGATCAACGAGTTCTTAGACTGCAGCATTGTCATCCCCCCATCAGAGGTGGAGGGGAAAGACTTGCTGAAATCCATTGCCACCTTCCAGAAGTTGCTGCTGAGGAAGAGGAAGGAGAGGGAGCAGAAGTCCATGAAGGAGGGGGATGTCCAGGAAGCCAAAGGTCTCTCCACTCACGTTTGGGCAAAAGAGTCTGTGCCTAGTGCCCTGCGTGCCCCAGTGGGCCCTCCCCTCACAGAGCCTGGCAGAGGGGTGAGCGGGGCCTGGCTCCTGCAGTGGGCATCAGGGAGGGAGGTGAGGGGAGGCAGGACAGTGGCTGTGGGCAGCTCTGGCAGCTGGGGGCAGCAGGATGCGTGGTCGCAGGGAGCCCACCAGGTTAGCGCTGCTGGAGGAAGGCCTCCACAGTGGCATATAGGGAGAGGGACAGCCCGCGGGCAGACCTGCGTTCCCCTGCTTAAGCCCTGCCCTCCATGCACCTCCAGAGCTGTGTGAAGTGAAAGCTGAGGAAGAAGAGGAGGAAGCTGAGGACGACCCTTTGAAGCGGACCGGGATATTTTTTGGAGGTCTGGTTCGGGACATAAAGCGCAGGTACCCCAAATACCTCAGTGACATCAGAGACGCCTTGCACAGCCAGTGTCTCGCGGCCGTTCTCTTCATCTACTTTGCTGCTCTCTCTCCTGCCATCACCTTCGGGGGACTCCTAGGTAATGGGCCTGCTTTCTGGTCTGCTCTGTGCGTGCTGGGACACTGGCTCTGTCTGTGTGATGCTGTGCCGGGGTGGGCTTCGGTGCCGCTCTCTCGAGGAGAGTGGCAGCGCTGCACCTTGGCTGCTGCCTTGTCCCCTCCCTGCCACTTGGTCTCTCCAGCCTCGGCTCCCGGGGCTCCCTCTGCGCTCACTGCCCGATGCAGGGGACCTCTGACAGATGGGATGGGGACCTGCCTCCTCTGTCCGGAGCTGTGTGTGCAGCCTGCCTGCCTGCGGTGACAGTGCCTGTGTCTGGGCTGTAACACTCACACCTTGTTCTTTTTCCCAGGAGAGAAAACTGAGGGTCTTATGGGGGTCTCCGAGCTGATAATCTCCACCTCGGTTTTAGGGATCCTCTTCTCCCTGCTCAGCGCCCAGCCGCTCCTGGTCATTGGCTTCTCAGGGCCTCTGCTGGTGTTTGAAGAAGCTTTTTACAAGGTACATGTGAGGCAGTGTCCGTGCTTGGCACCTGCTTGCTCTGCCTTTGAGGGCTAGAGAGGGCAGCTGGCATTTCTTAGCTCTCCAAAGGGTCTTTGTTGGTGTGGACTCCTGCCAGGCTGCCCTCAGCTCAGCCAGGGCTGTCCCTGGCTCTGATGACCCTTTGCAGGTCACGCCATAGGGACTTGTGCCTCTTGTGGCTGTATCCTGGGGGCTGACCCCCCTGAGGTGTGGCAGTGGTAACAGCACTCTCATACCTGCTGACTGTGAGAGGGGCATTGCCCGCAGCCCTGCAGCCCATCCTGGCACAATGAGCACTTGTAGCTGCATCCTAAAATACTGGTCCATAATACTTGTTCCTGGGGCTTCTTGTGAAGACCATTTCACAACTTTTATCCGTGTCCAGGTTTCCTTGTATGGGAACCCAACAGCGTTCAGTGTAACACCCATTTGGGATGTCCCACATGCATTACTCCCACTCTCAGGATAAGCCCAAGGCTGTGTGCAGAGGTATCCTGACCAGCCAGAATGGATATGTTTCTTTCTCAAGCAGCATGCCCTCTTCACTGTTAAAAGCATCCCATACCTCCAAGCTGTGGGACTAACCTTCTTTTTTCTGAGTCCTCACATGTCTGGGTTTTTAAAGCATGTTTTTTCCTACAGATAGTTTTTCACCTTGGTGTGTCAAGAATTTGGAGCTGGTGGTGCCATTGCACAGCGGGAATTTTGCTGCTCTCCTGCGGTCACATTTCTCCCTGACTGCTTTTGCTTTGCCCAGCCATTGCGTACGAAGGCATACCTCTGCCCTATAGGTTGGCACTGACTGTGGTGGCACCGAGGAAAGTTGCAAAGGGAGGGGTGTGATTTGTGCTGGAAGTAGTTGGTGTTGCTGCGTGTGGCTGAGCAGAGACAGTGGGGACGGTCTGTTCTGCGGTGACAGCCCGGGGGCTTTTCTCCACACATGTACAACCATGTGTGTACCCAGGGCACTGTCTGGGATGTGGGAAACAGGCTTGTGCTGGTGAGTGCATGGAGCACTAGAGGGCTGTGGTTGAGTAACAGCACCTCCATATGGGTGGGATGGGGAGCGTCATGCATGGGATGGCTTCAGCAGAGGGCGAAGGAGGTGCTGTTACAAAGACTGGAGAGGCAAAGACCTGCTTGGTGTGGGCTGGCTGGTGTTAATGCAAAGTCTGCAACTTTACCTGTGACTCCAGCCCTGAATTCACTGTCTCTGTGCTGGATGCCTAAGCAGATGTAGGTGCTTTTTTTCCAGGAGAGCCTTTGATCTGAATGGGGAACAGATGCGGGAAGCAGCCTGAGGATCCATGAGTAACTTCTGCCCTTTTCCATTTCAGTTCTGCCAGACACAAGGAATTGAGTATCTGACAGGCAGAGTGTGGATTGGTTTGTGGCTCATCGTCTTCATCTTCATTATCGTGGCAGCTGAGGGAAGCTTCTTGGTGCGTTACATCTCGCCCTTCACCCAGGAGATCTTTGCTTTCCTCATCTCCCTCATCTTTATCTACGAGACCTTCTACAAACTGTATAAGGTAAACCTTCCCCAGAGGGGATGGGCTGCTGCAATTCTTGGTCCCCCAGGACCCTGCTGCCTTAGCAGACAGGAATCAGGGGAGCACGACCAGCTCAACCACAGCTTTCCTAGGAGTTCTGCAGAGCACTTATTTGCTGGCCTCTCATGCCCCAGCCCAGCTGGTCCCTGTGCCACCACAGAGGCTGGCAGGATGAGCCCTAACGTCTGTCTCCCCTTCTCTTCCTGCAGGAGACATTAAAGAGGGGCCACTTTTCTCTCCCCAGCCCTCTCCAGCTGGGTAGGTCGTGAAGCGAGGGGATGGATGCTGGGATTGTCCATGCCCATCATCTACTGCACAGAGCAGGACACCCCCGCATCCCCCTGTCCCCGGTAGTGACAGTGTCCCCTGCCCTTCCTTGCGCTGACAGTGCCTGCTGCTTCTCTCTCCTGCCCAGGTGTTTGCAGAGCATCCCCTGCTGAAATTCTACCCACCGAATGCGCAGAATGGCCTGAATGCCAGCATGCTCTCTGCGGATCCAATGTCGCTGGGAATCAGGATGCAGCCCAACACCGCTCTCCTCTCCCTCATCCTCATGCTAGGCACCTTCTTCATTGCCTTCTTTATGCGCAAGTTCAAAAACAGCCGTTTCTTAGGAGGAAAGGTAAGAATTTTGTGGGACCCAGATGCTAAGGATGTGCCAAACAAATAATGCTTCTTGCAACGGCCTTTTGTTCTCCAGAGCATTTGGACTTTCACCCAAAGAAACACCAGCACTCCCTTAAATAATGTGTAGAAGGGCTAGTAGCCTGACCCAGGCTGCAGACCAGAGCTGGCTGTTGATGATAGTATCTGCACTGCTTTGCTGAGCAGTTCCCTGGATCTTGGGAAAGCTCCTTAGGCTGGATACAAATCTGTTAAACTAGAGTATAAGAGGAAGAGCTTACAACTTGTTCCTTTTGGACATCTGTCTACATGCAGGGCATCTGCGTAATAACTGGAGCACCATCCGAACAGGCCAGTTGGAGCAATTAGCCAGCCACATAAGCGTGGCTGCAGGACTGTGTGTTATGTGGGCAGTGCAGCCCTGTAGGCCAAGGCTGGGTTCCCTTGTCCTGCTCATCAGTGGTGCGTAGGTTTGCGGTGGTGCTTGGCCCCATCTGGCCCTCGGTACGGGCTCCCTGAAGCAGGGTGGGTGCACGGAGCCAGCCCCTTTTCTTTGCCAGTGAGGGTGTTTGTTCTGCAGGCCCGGCGGATCATCGGAGACTTTGGGATCCCCATCTCCATCCTGGTCATGGTGCTGGTGGATTACACCATCACTGACACGTACACGCAGGTAGGTGCCTCCCTCAGAGCCCCTCCCACAGCCCAGCAGCGATCCCGATGCCAACGGGGGATTTGTGTTTGCTGCATCTTTAGTCATAACAGCACAAAGCAAACAGAGGTGCTCCCGTCATCCTCACTCCCACGCTGAAGGGAAGGTCCAAGGGTCTCGCTGAGACTGAGACCAGAGCTGCAGGGACTGGAGTGCCCCTGGTGTCCCTCTGATACTCCAGCTGTTAGCAGGGGAGGCTTTAGGGGACCAGAGAGATTCAGTGCAGTTAATTCCTTGTTTGTAACTCTAAAAACTTGCAGTCAGTCAACAAGACATAAACTGGTTATCCATGCTGAAGGGGATGGCATACAGAGTGGTTTCAGTGAGGTACTTGTCATGGGTTTAGTACTTAACATTTGTTCTCCCGTTGACTATAGGCTACTAAATATTTTGATCACTTCAAACACGAAGATCTCTTTCCCAGTTTATGCACAAACTTAAATGTTATAAAAAAACCCCATCTCACAGGTTTCCCTTCCCTCCCCCCCTTTTTAGTAGATGTGTAGTAACATGTTTTTGTTTTGCTATTTCTTTCAACTGACATTGGGGAGAGGGTGAAAGATAGTTCCTGTTCAGCATGCAAGCTTTTTATCAAGACAGCCCAAGGCTTAACAGCATCCAAATCCATTTTTATTCATTTAAATTTCAATGGAAAATCTGGCTTTATCAGACTTTAGTAAAATCATGCACATTGTTACCTCCTTTTCATACCCTTCTACACTTCTACAATTAATATCAAAAGCATTATCTTTTCAGTATTAACTCAGCATATATACGAAGCTTTCTGGGAAAACGACACTTACTTACACAGCTTAGCTCAAGTACAAGCATTCCAGGAATATTATTCATACTTATGCTGATTAACATAAATGCAAATCATAAACTCTCCCTGCAGTGCTCGCACAGGCAGATAGCAAGAACTGCTGTAGAGCAGCGCAGAGCTGAGAGTTCAAATGCTGATGAACTCAGGGTTGGGACAATTTACAGCTAGGAGTCTGTGTGGTCCCTGATGGCAGCACAAACACGGTATTTCCTCTGAACGTGCCCAGGGTGAGGTAATTTCCAGAGAATGTGGCCACTTCTGGGGTCAACGCTGCAAAAACAATGCTGAAAAATGTCTCAGAAAAGGCTTGGAAAGTCTGGAAAGCCACCTCAGAGAAGGGCACTTGATTTGTCCAAGCAGAGGTCAAGGAGCATTTTAACCATGAAGCATTGATATGGGGGTGAGATTCCTGAGGGAAGATACTTTCTTGATCCCTTGGACAAAAACCAAGGGAATTCTAGTAGCTGAAAGGAAATGAGACTGGCCCATGTCAGGGGGCATGGGATTTTTTGTACTGAAGGGGGTTATCCATGAGAAAGTCCCACTCGGGTCAGGGTGGCTGTCCCATCATCTGAGGCGTGCAGACCAGGGAGACCAGGAGGATAAGGCCTGTGTGAGGCTGTGTGCAGATGAGTAACTGCCGGGTTTTGTGGCTACTCCACCAGAAGCTGAATGTCCCCTCTGGCCTGTCGGTCACATCTCCTCACAAGCGTGGCTGGTTCATTCACCCCATGGGCAGCAGTGGGACCTTTCCGATGTGGATGATGTTTGCCTCCGCTATCCCTGCCCTGCTGGTCTTCATCCTTATCTTCATGGAGACACAGATCACTACGTGAGTACCTCCCCCGCCAACACCAACCATCACTAACCCCTGGGCAGGCAAGAATGGGCCGGGTGCGGGTGGCATTGGTGTGGTGATGCATCTGGCATCCCAGTGGCAGAACAAGAGCAGGATCCTGGCCATTTCGGACTGTATCTTCTTGGGTTCTCCCATGGTCTCTTGGCTCCCCTCCTGACATACAGCGTGGTGGAGACCTGCCTCTGCCCAGCACAGGAGGAAACCTCAGGTTAGAACCTGCGGTTGACAGCCACCATCCCTCTCCTCCGCTATCTACTTCTTGTCCCCATGTGTGTCCTCTCCAAGGAGTGAACATTGTCCCCAGCTGCACTGCTGTCCCTGGGCACTGGGGTGGGCCTGGCACTGACCCAGGCTCTTTTTCCTCCCAGGCTGATTGTGAGCAAGAAGGAGAGGAAGCTGCTGAAAGGCTCCGGCTTCCACCTGGACCTGCTGCTCATAGGCACTATGGGGGGGCTTTGTGCCCTCTTTGGGCTGCCCTGGCTGACCGCAGCCACTGTGCGCTCTGTCACCCACGTCAACGCCCTGACGGTGATGAGCAAGGCCATTGCTCCAGGAGAGAAGCCCAAGATTGAGGAGGTGAAGGAGCAGCGTGTGACAGGAGTGCTTATCGCTGCCCTCGTCGGTGAGCCTCTGCTCGGGTGAAGGAGCACAGGGGGGAGGTCAGGGCCGGCCACTTGAATCTCCTGGCAGCGTCCCTGCCCCACAAGGCAGCCTGTGCTCTGCCTGCTCGCTGCAGGGCTGCCACCACCTACACCCACACCAGCTCTCCTCTGGCAGCCTTCAGTACCCCACCATGGTCAGTCCTTCCCTGCAGCCCTTCCAGCTAAACCCCTCTCAAGCTGCTTTCCCTTGCACCCTGGGACAGGCAGAGGAGGCAGGAGAGGGACAGAGACCGAGGGGCTGATGTGGGACACGCCGTGCCCTGAGCTCTGTCCGTGCAGGTTTGTCCATTGTGATGGGGAACATGCTGCGGCAGATCCCGCTGGCTGTGCTCTTCGGCATCTTCCTCTACATGGGGGTTACATCGCTCACCGGCATCCAGCTCTACGAGCGGCTGCTCCTCATCTTCATGCCGTCCAAGCACCACCCTGACCACATCTATGTTGTCAAGGTGAGTGCAGGCAGGTTGTGGGGAAGCAGGTAATGAGGAGCAGAGGAAGAAGAGGCAGTTGAGCGGGGATGGTGCCTTGCTAAAGCGATGCTCAGCTTGGTGATGCTTCTTGGCTGCAAGTTTGTGCCGAGAGATAGTGCAGACCAAGCACAGAGGTGACACGATAGTAGGATAGTGTGCTGACAGGCTGCACACAGCAATGTATTGCCAGGACATTGTATGGACAGACTGTTTATAGGGGTGATGCATTGCTTGAATGGGCGTAGGGATGTTGTATTGCTAGGTGCATATGCTGCTAGGTGGCCTGGTGTGGTGCAGAGTTCTGCCTTGGTGTAAAGTGCAGGCAGGTAGAGCATGCAGCGGTGTTGTGCTACTGTACTATACTATGCAGAAGGGTTATGTTTTCACAGTTGGGTCTTCATAATGTGTTCTTAGACTGGATTTACCTCCCTAGGTGAAGACCTGGAGAATGAATCTCTTCACCTGCATTCAACTGGCTTGCATTGTACTGCTCTGGGTGGTGAAGTCTACGGTGGCATCCCTGGCCTTCCCCTTCGTCCTGATCATGACAGTGCCGTTGCGGCGCTTCGTGCTGCCCCGCTTCTTCCACGACAGGGAGCTCAAAGCGGTAAGCAGATAACTGTCCTCGTGGTCTAGCTTGCAACACTGCAGTGAGGTTGAGGAGATTTGGCAGACTGAAAGTCTGGGAGATCCTCGGCCAGCAAAGCCTTGGCTTTCCCTGCTGTTATCTGGGGGTCTTTGTTCAACAGCAGTAGGTGGGTGCATGGCTTCCTTGGAGCTTGTAGCCCTAGGAGTGCAGTGTGGGATGGATGGGCACCCTAGGGCAAGGAGACAGAGGATCCTACCACGCAGAGGCCAGGGATAAGGGTTTCCCCTTCCATCCTCCTCCCCATTTGTGGCCCATTCATCAAGAGATACCCCATTTCCCTGCTGAGACAGCAGCAAGGAGAGCCCAGCAGTGTACCAGAGCCTAGCACATAACCATAGTGCCAGGGTGCTGGCAGCTCCTTGAGTGATGGCAGCAACTCTGCTGCTGCCAACATCCTGAGCTCCTGCTGGAGAGAAGCCTGGAGCAGCACCCAGAGGTGCCAGCAGGGGAGGAGGGAGGAGCTGCTGTGCTGGGCCCCAGTGTTGAGGCACTGTCAAACAAGACATGTACAGGAAAGGGCTGGTATGCAGGGATGAGCATGAGGGGCAAGAAAAAGGAGCCTGTTGGGAGGGGAAGGAGCAAGAACTTTGCTCTTCCTGGCGCAGCCCAGCTGCCTGGCTTGCTGCACGCTGACCCCTCAGGGCCAGGCTCCAGCCCACGCTGGGGGCGCCTGTGGCCTTCAGAGCCCGGTCTCTGCCTCTCCCCAGTTGGACTCGGAGGATGCAGAGCCAAACTTTGACGAGGATGGCCGGGACGAGTACAACGAGCTGCACATGCCTGTGTGAGCTGGGACCTGCGCTCCCCGTGCACAGGACAGGCTGCTCACGTCTGCTCATCCCTCCCAAGGACTACCTGGAGACTTGCTGTGAGTCATGCCATCTCTTGCCTGGACCAACGCTCCGTAGCCCTGCAGGAGGCAGTCCTGGCTCCTGCTGCCCCATCACTCGCTCAGCAGAGGCTGTGAGTCTCTCTCCTCTTGGACCCGGTGGGCTGCGAGATGCCTCTCACAGCCGTAAGTTGCGTGGGTCAGGGGTCTGCCCCTTCCCTGCTGGAGGCAGCCCGTGTCTGGTCTCCAGGCGGTGAAGGGAGCCACGCCAGCTGCTGCCACTGTGTTCCCCTCTGCTACCACGAAGCTTGGGTGTCTCTGCACCGAGTGCCACCGAGCAGTCACAGGGATGGGCTGGGCAGCCAGTGGGCTCTTCCCAGGGCAGCAGCCTCCTTGCTCAGCTAGCGGATGCCTTGCTCCACTTCCCTCTGCCCCTTTCCAGGGGTGCTCCTGCTGGGCGTGTACCGCAGCCCCTGGCCCACAGGGCTGCCGCAGCCTGGCAGACAGTCGAGGAGGGACCAACACTCTGGCACTGTCCTCCAGACCATACTCTGCTCAGTCACCCTCCCACAGGACTGTTTTCAGCTCTTGCTCAGTGTGGGCGAAGCTATATGCTTCCTCCCAGTTTTCCCAACCCTCTTCCCAGAGGAAAACCTCTCAGGGAGGGGAGACTGGGGGCATGCAGGTATCCTGAAACCTCAGGTGCCTGCCCTCTTGCAGGGACTAAGAGGAATCCTGTGCCATTCTGCACCTTGACAAAGGTTGCAGGGTAAAACCTCATCACAGGGCTGCGTACCAGTTCCTCTCTCTGAGAACAAACCATATTTAAGAAACTATAAGAGAGTTGTAGTGCTGGAGCACAGAACAGTCCTTTGGGTCCCCTCCCTTTCCCTGTGCAGTGATCCACCAGGTTCCCTGCAGCCCCACAAGGAAGTCACTGAAACCTCCAGCCCCGCCTCTGCTGCCATACCAGGGTGACCTTTCACGTCCAGGGGTGCCGTCCAGCTGGAATGGAGCAGCATTCAGTGTGCCTGGCACTCAGCCTGTCACCTCTGGGCAGCTCCAAACACCTTTCCTGGCAGGGTTGTCCCCCGGGATCTCCCCGGGCCAGCAGCCCCCTTCAGAGCTGCTTTAGACACCGCTGGCAGTGCTTTTGCGCCTGCAGCAGCTCTGGGGGTAGTGCCAAAGGAGATGGGCACCCCAGCTTCTCCCTGATAGTCAGAGCCGGAGTGGCCTTGTGGAGGTTCGGGTGCTCACTTCACCATTGGATTTAGGACATGCCGCTGCCCTGGTTCCCACTTAATCAGCCTGGCTCCTGCAAGAGATGGTGGGTATTCCATTACCAGGAGGGCCTGATGCCTTCCTCAGGAGGCTGCAGAAATAACCCACCAGAGAGAGAAACCTCCCCCCACGGCAGGTTCCTGCCCCACAGCCTGGCCCCCGTGCAGGGCCTGGGGTGGAGAGACAAGCGTCTCTGTGTGTCTGTGGCCGTGTGTGTCCTGTCCTCCCCGTGTAGTGTAGGAGGCCTGTTGTCGCTGTGCGTTGTGACTCCTGACTGTAGTGGAAACAGCTACACCAATAAACTCTTACAGGAACCATGTCTGGCTTTCTCTGCTTTTTTTATTAATTGACAATAACTGAGATGGATTGAAATTCCCTGACACGTAACTGCTTCTTGCCCACAGCAGCAAGTTGTGGGGACTGTCACTTCCAGCTTGGAGGTGGGCTCTCCACCACCATTGCCAAGCAGGCTGGTTACTACTGGGGCCAGCTCATGCTGGCTGCTGGAAACAGGAGGCTGAGCCCCATATTTAACTAGAAACACATACTTGTGCCTGTGTGCACCCAAACATGTGCATGTCTGTGCCTGCATGGTCAGCACCGCTTGGTGCCCATCTCCTTACCCCACCTGCAGCTGTGCACCATGACAGGGCCATGGGCTGTGCACAGAGGAAACATCTCATTAAACACACGTTCCCTCCACGGTTTCCAGGTTCCCATGTGCTGCTGACTGCCCACAGCCCACAGGGTGATGGGTTGGATGTCAACCAGGCATGCTCTCCTGAGTGCTGCTGCTGGGATTAGGCAGTGGTCCTACCTCCCCTGGTCACGGGCACTGACTGCTCCTGGGGCTGGCTGCTGCCAAGGGGACACATAGCAGAGGGCTGGACCTGTCTGGGTGCAAGGGTGGTGGCCATCCTGCTTCTGAGCCAGGCCTGCTGTGGGATGGGTAGCACCTGGCTCCACAGCATCCTCTCCAGGTCCCAGCAGCGCTGTTGAACCTGCAGGAGAGGAGGCAGCGTGGGTGCCTGGCTCCCAAGCATCTGGGCAGGTTGGATGGAAGCATCCATGAGTGCTCCCTGCAGGCTGCTCACCACACTGGGAAATGCTCTCTCTCCCATCCCTACTCCACAGCTCTCCTTCCTCTCCTCCTGAATGCCTATGGCTGCCCAATGGGCCATCAGTTTGGATGGGAGAGGCTGTGGCCTTAGCCAGTCCTCTAAGATCTGTATCTCTACTTGGATGTCCAGCTCTTTCCATGCAGCTCCCCAGCCCTCTGCCCGTGGCAGTGCCCCAACTCTTGCCCTGGGACACGGGACAGGGAGTGCAAGCACAGCCAGCACACGCCCCCTACCACATCAATCCTCTGGATGAGGATGACCCTCCAGGATGCTGTGGTGGTACTCCTCCAACTCCAGGCTCTTCTGCAGCTCCTCAGCCAGGGCAGCCTGGTGCCTGCAACTCCCTGTCCCCATCTTTGGGTTCTGCTGGGACTGGGCCAGCTCCATCCCCTTGCCCCGCTGCTGCAGGTGCAGGGCATGGATGCGCCAGGCGATGTGATGGACCTGGGCACACAGCGTGGCCACCCACTCCCTGCGGTGCAGCAGGGCCAGCATCTCCTCCTGGCTCTCCCGCAGCTGGGCTTGTAGCACCTGGGTGCAACCATCTGCAACCGAAGCAAGAGTTTGGGCAACTTCAGGGTAGAGACAGGCTGCTGGGGCACCCTGCCAGGTGGCAGGGGCTGCATGGTGCCAGGAGTCAGCTCTGCCCTGCCCTGCGCTGGTGGCTGCAGTGATGGTGACGGTGGTGATGATGGTGATGGTGACAGTGATGATGATGGTGACGGTGATGGTGGCAGGAAGAGGTCATACCTGCTCCTGTGTAGATGGACCCACTGCTGGGTGAGTTCTGCCATGGCCGAGCTCTGGTGAAACACATCGGGAACCAGCCGCAATACCTTCTCAAAGACCCCCATGCCAGCAAAGCCACGCAGGTCATACAGGCTCTTGGGGCTGAAGACCCGCTTGCTGACAGGACC